TAACTCACAAACATATTCTGCTCTTTCTTGAGCCTCAATAATATCAAGTGTAATGTAGACAAAACCGCTCTTATAACAATGCTAGAAAATAACAATCCTAATAGAAACGCTTCTCTTAAAGTTCTTGAAGCCACAATTGCTCCTCTTCCATATAATGCAACAATTTGATACCTTGGAAATTATTTCTCAGGCAACCCCACAGACAATCCATCCAAACATATCCTGACAAAAGAATTAAACCAAATAATCACAGCCTGCAACAAACAAAGTTGAAATGGTTCAATAACTAAACAGGTAATGGACTGGATTTTACCTAGCAAACTCGATTATGCTTTCCACTCCATCTCACTGTCCAAAAGAGAACTAGCAAATACCCAAGCCAAAATAAACAATCTAATTAAAACAAAACTCAAGATGAGCAGAACAATTTCAAACAAAATTATATATTCTCAGGCCGGCCTCAAGTTTATCAATTTAATAGACAAGCAAAAACTTATCACATCAAAACTCCTTATTGTGAAACTGTGTAACCCAAAAACAAAAGCCATCATCAGTATAGAAATCAAGTCAATTCAAGCATGATATGCGATCTGGCTTTGCCTTCTATACTTCCCAAAGAAGTTTCAAGAGAGTTGGATCATCAGAGCTGCAATAGCATGTAAAAAATATGAAGTCTTAGTATGTCCATCGAACTGTGAATTCAATAGTCCAAATGGAAACTATTCAATAGGCCTTGCTGTTTCTTTTAATGAAAAAGCTATGGCCCGACAAGCACTCAGCTTATATTGGAAAAACATCAAGTTCTTAAATGATCTCTTAGTTTATCAATCAAGCCACAAATTCACATGGCAAGAATTCAATACTCATTTTGGCCCGATCCCTAGGGGCCCCACACCTTCCTGGTTTTCTAAAGTTAATATCTCCAACCACATTCAAGAAACATCTATCTGTATATCAAACATCAAAGCTAGATTCTGGGCCACTATATTAAACAACCAAGTCACCTATCTGAAAGCAAGAAGCAATTGTAATACAAATCAGATGATCGTAAAAGGAACCCATTATATCATTGCAACAAATAGAACACTTACTAGGTATCAGTGTCACAGCGACGCTCAAAAGCTCCTAATCCCTGTACAAGAAGCAATGACTCTGTGGACATATTAAAAAAGCAATCAGCATATGTTGGCAAATGCCCTAGAAGAGATCTTAATCCAACTATACTTCAAAAATAAGCCCTTAAATCTTATACCAGATATCAAGATTAATAACTGAAACATGCCAAACATGCTCCCACATTTTAACAACAACATAGTGGCAGATATTAAACAGATTATCATGCCAGAACGGTTCTTCGTCACTATAGACCTAGATATTAAAGATGGCCTCATAATAGCTAAAGCAAACAATTCGATGCTTACATGTCACTCTGAGTATAAGCAACCTATTAGCATACTCTTAGTCTTAATCGGAATCTTAGCAGTAGCCAAAAATGACATTTATATGATAGTCAATACCACCAAAGTTCCCAATCTATCTACCCCAAACTATGTTAATCGTAGGATCATGACAGCCTATAGCTATTTAGTAGATTGTATCTCTATACTATGCAATTCCAAAGAAATCATGTTACAATTAAACAAACTCAATAACCCTCTCAACTTCCAGGAAAGCGACTCAATAATCTATATAGACAATATAATAGAAATCAACAAATACATCACTAGCCCACTTATTAAGAACATGTGGGGCTATAGCGTAATAACATGGCTTAAAAGAGTTCAGCAATCCTACAGACTTATCAACTTAATCAACAGCTCATCAATCAAAAGTAAATGGAATCAAACACTAAAACTAGAGACACTGCAGCATCTTGTACTCGCAAACAATCTATTAATTAAAAAAGATAAATATAATTTCTCATCCTTGTTGGCCTTCAGAAACAAAATTCTTAGTGAAACCCTCCCTACAAGAAAACTACTACACAAAAGATATCCTGACAGTTATCAAGATGATCTATGTTCCAGATGCTTGATCACACTAGAAACACAAGAACATGTTTTTGAATGCTATAAAAACATTATAGCGTATGAGGAAATCAAAACCAAAATGAACTCCAAATTAAAGAAGCTCTCAAAGAAAGTCAGCGCAACATCACAACACTTACCGGACCTTAACATTAACAAAAAATCACAACCCGAAAAGATAGCATGCAGCATAACAACTCTAAACATCCACCTCTAAAAAAAAAATTAGCCAAGTTTACAAACAGTATATTGAAACTTCTTTATACATTAATATGAATACCCAGATCATCAACAGCAAACACATCAGTATCAACAGGAATCAAATGGACCAAAACCAGATATAGCATACAAGACACAAAAGTTAAAAATACAATAGGCCCTTTACAAGAATTGGACTTTCTCCAACAAATTATTATGGAATCAGATTCACAATACGCTAAATCAGACAGTATACTTAAATCATTGAACCTACTTTTAGCTCTGAAAGGGCATTAACCATCCAGTACTAGAGCCAATCTGAGTTACATCAAGTGTAATTAGAATAGCAATAGTTAGCATCGTAGATAGGTTAATATTAATTCTCATATACTATGTAAAGATATTTGATGTAATCTGTATATCAATTTATATACTTAATAAAGTTTTGCATCTAATGTCTTTTTATGATAAAAAAAAATAAAAAAATTAAAAAAAATTATTTGATTAATAAAAAATTACAAAAAAGTTTTTTATAATGTACAAATTAATTTTATAAAAAGTAATTTTTTTTTTATTTAATAAAAATAATTTTAAAAAAATTTTGACAAATTTCTTTAATTAAAAAATCAAATAAGCAACTTAAAATTTAATGAATGTTATTTTTTAATTAAATTTGATTTTATTTTATAAATTGATGCATTAAAATTATTATAAGTAATTTATTTATTAATTTATTGTAAGTTAATTAAATCATATATTTTAAAATTTTTTATTTTGATATAATAAGAAATTTCAATAAATTTCAATAATATATTAATAAAAATCTATTAAGTAAATTTGTTTTTTATATTTTTATTAATATATATTTAAAATTTTATTTTATTTTATAAATTATTTATTGAATTATAAATAAAAATATAAATTGAAAATTTGTTCAAAGACTTTTTAGAGAACTATATATAAACTTGTAAAACTATTTGAAAATTAATAAATAAAATTAATAAATATTTAAAGTATTTTATTTTAAAAAATATTTTAAACTATTAATTATTTTCTATTAATTCTAATTTAAGAAGATTAACAAAGGAATTATTTTTTTATTTTACTTAATATTTTTAAAAAAGTTATAAAAACTATAATCAATTTATTTTAAGATTTCAAATTAATATTAAAATAATATTAAAATGATATTAACTTATAATAAATTTAATATATAGATTGTAACATATCATATTAAACTTATGTTAAATTTAATATTGATTTGATATCAAAATAATATCATTAAAAATTCTAATTTATCTTCTTTAATTAATTAGTAAGAATTAATTATATTTTATAAAATAAAAATTATCTATATAAATAAATTTATAACTTATTTATTAAATTTATTAAATTTTATTCTTATTTATTATTTTTATACAAAATAAATTAATAGGTTAGGTAATTTAAATTAATAATAGGACTTTTATTTCCTAATCAGATTTTTTTTTCAAACATATAAGCTTACTTGCAAATAAAAATAATAAAATTTTAAACCAGTTTCAATCAGTTCTAAGAAAATTACAAAAAATTGATTGGATTTTTTTTTCTGAAGCAATTAATAAAGAATATGCAAGATAATATTTTATAATAGATTATTTAAAACAAAAAATTATAGGGCTGTTATAGAAATGCAAAATCTTTAAATATATAAGTTTTGAAATTCAATTTTTAAAATCAATTTCAAAACTTTTATATTTAAAGATTCTGCATTTTTGAGACAGCCCATAATTTTTTGTTTTAAGTAATCTATAGTAAGATATTATTTTGTATATTTTTTATTAATTGTTTGAAAAAAAAAAATCCAATCAATTTTTGTAATTTGCTTGAAATCAATTGGAACTATTTTAAAATTATACTATTTCTACTTGCAGAATATAGTTAGTATTACTGAAATATAATTAGCATTTAACTACATAATTTTACAGAAAATATTTATGAATAAACTAATATCATATATATATTAATAAAAATAAAATAATAGTAATAATAAAATAAAAATTATATAATAATATAATAATAATGATATAATAACAATTAGTAATACTGGATTATAAAGATTCTTTTTACATCATATTGAATATATTATACAATCAAAAAACAATATGATTAAATTTTTTTTATCTATTTTGTAATGAAGAGTTTGATTAAAAAATAATTTTTCAATTTTTCAAAATTCGAAATATATTCATATAAAAAAAAATTTTTTTAAATATAAAGTTTTTTGAAATACAGGACATGTTAAAACCAGATACTTATATTTTGTTTTGTATATATGCTTAAGAATAATTGATCATGTTATTATTAAATTTAAAATTGAAAATATTTTTTTTAAGAATTTATTAATATTATATGGTATATCGTAAATAGTTTATAAATAATGACATCTGAAGTTTATTGTATTTTCTTATTGAATACAATACTCGAATTTTATTTTTCTGATAAATTTTATGTGTTTATTGGAAAATTATAATGATTTGATTTAACATGTAAAATGCATATGGTCTATAATATAATGATGCTTTAAAAAAAATTCTATTACATCTATAAATGTTGGCTTGCATTTTTAACCTATGTGCAGTTCATTTATAAGACGTTTACCCTCGTAAACATAAGATTAATTTAGATCAGAATTATAATTCGAGTCCATAGTCAAATTTTGAATTAGGACTATGTTTCTTATACCCAAGTCCACCAATTTTCCACCCGATTCCGCTGTCAGGGCTAGAACTAGAATTACGCTTTTTTGAACCCGAGACCACTAACTTCGAATCCCACCTCATCGTCAATATCAGAATTACGCTTTTTGAACCCGAGACCACTAACTTCGAAACCAATCTCATCGTCAACATCAGAATTACGCTTTTTGAACCCAAGACCACTAACTTCGAATCCAACCTCATCGTCAATATCAGAATTACGCTTTTTGAATCCGAGACCACTAACTTCGAATCCAATCTCATCTTCAATATCAGAATTACGCTTTTTGAATCCGAGATCAGAGGTAGGATCGCGTCTTTTATACCCGAGACTGTTAATTTCTAATCCAACCCTATCATCAAGGTCAGAATCAAGATTACGCTTCTTATACTCAATCTTATTGCCAGTAGCAAAACCAGGATTGCGACTCGTGGACCCAGGACTTCTATCACCTGATTCGTCCCTATTTCCACCAGGATTGCGATTCGTGTATCCAGGTTCGTTATCAGCCTTATTGTCAATATCCGAATTAGAATTACGATCCGTGTACCCAGAGCCATTATTACCTAATCCGACCTCACCATCAAGATCAGAATCGGGATTGCGCTTTTTATACCTAAGGTTACTAGCATCTAATGTAATCTCCTTGTTGTTAGGATTAGATCCAGTATAGTGCTTCTTATATAATCCAATTTCACCGTTAAGATTACGCTTCTCATATTTTTTATATAATCCAATTTCGTCACCAATTTTAGAGTTAGGATTACGCATAGACATTCCATGTTGAAAGTCATAATTACGTTTATCATATCTAACGTTTCCAGAACGCGAGATACGAATGCTGGCACAGGACGAATTTTCAGCACATCTTAGACGTAAGGTGCAATTATCGCACTCCACGTTCTCCGGTAGTTTTATACTTGCTTGTGAAATCTCACCTACATTATCCGCACGATTTAAAAGAGCTCCAATGGTTTTAAAGTTTGAATCTTTACCGATTATCGATAAATCAACATAAAACTGTTTTTCGCAAGCATTATTAACTTCCCATTCAATATTGATTAATTGACCTATCGTATAGTGAGTAGTGATAGAAGAAACACTTTTATCTCCACAAGGGGATGACGTTGGTTTAATCATATGGCATTGATCAGTTAAATTAACTGTAAGAAGAAGAGAAGCGACTAAAAAGAGAAATTTCATGATAAGGAAGTAAAATAAATGAGTGTTAAAGCAGGTGCTAGTTGGTGAATCTATGTGTCTGAGTATGACGCAACTCTTCCGGAGAGTTTAACTTATTTATTGTTGAATTGTTCGGTATATAAAAGTAAAAGTTGAATATGCAAATGAGAAAAAAACTCGGGGTTTATATAGAAAGAGAGAATTAACCACGACGCGTTCTATCTCGTGATGACTTTTACAATGATCTGCTTCTATTTACAAAGGACAACTTGTGAAGTTAACAGCAATTACGCATAGTACTATATGTTATCGGTACCTAAACTTCGTCATTTTAGAATTTAAATTTTATATTGCTTGCCGCAAAGGGTTCATGATGTCAAATCATTTGACATCATTTTATCCAATCCATTTATAGAAGGTTCTAGACCTATAATATGCCGTCTAGCTAATAGCCGCGTCCATTTAGGAAGACAAGGCATGAGTTCCTTATACAAAGGTTACAAACCATATTTTATTTCACATTGAGATTCGCGAAAGTCACCATAATTTTCGCCATAAATGCAAGATCTTTCATACACCCTAAATAACTTTCATTAGAAAATTCGCCTCGTTTTCTAAACTGTCGTTTTCCAACAAAGAAATTTGAAGTCGAAAGATGACAAGGACAAAAATGATACAACTAACTAGTCGAAAGGAACATAAACAATAATGTTAACAACATATACATGGTTTATCGTGAAACGCGATTTACCCCACGGTAAGTTATTTTACAATATAATAAGTTGACAATATAATTATCATATGTTTGAGAGTAATACTTGCTATAAGCTATATATTTATTTAATTAAATACAATTAATTTAGATCTTTTTTTTTAACATTTTGTTAATAATTAAACAATTCAACATATCATCATTATTTTATTTTCATTTTATTAATTAAAGAAAATTATCAATATTAATAATTGTATAGTGTATATATATTTTATGCTTTTGCTAATATTTTTATTTTTAAAAGCTTTCGTTTTAATAATATACAGTATATATATTTTGTAGATAATTTAATATTTGTTTATCAAAAACCATTTTAAACAATTTATTTTCTTGATCGTAATTACAAGTCATAAAGTAAAATTTCAAATAATCATATTGAATTTCAATTTAGTTTGTAATACATAAAGTATATATGATTTTTCATTTATAATAAATAAAATTCAATTATCTAATCATTAAAAACTGATATACTGTATAATTAAATTATTGATAAAATTTTCATCTTATAAATTTATGTTAATAAGAACTGGTGATTTTATTTTAAAATTTATACAGTATATATACCTTAGGTTTTGAAAGTGAAAATACCGTATATACATACAGTATATATAATTTTATCGATAAAAAAAATTTTTCAAAAAAAGTATTTTTATAATATTTTTTATTAAAACCTTTATGTTATCGTATCATAATATCAATCAGTTACTGAATCATAGACTAAAATAAAAATTTTAGAAAGATCATAAACTTTTCATATCGGATTCTATATTTCATTAATTTAAAATATTTTAGTACAGTATATTAATAACATTATTTATTATTATTTTTATATTTACATATAAAATCATCATAAATTTCACTAACCATTTTAATTACTTAACTGCTTAAATAAACGGTTAACCATTTGGATTGGTACACATCGAAACTATGCTTGAAAGGCAAATTTTCAATTTGGAAATATAGACGATTATCAATATACCGTACATACAGTATATTGAATCGTATAAAATCTAAAAAACTGTATGCAAGATTATAATATACAGTATTAATATCTAAAATTTTACTACAGATAAAGGAAACCTTTCTAAGTCCCGATTTGCTATGTAACAAACCTTTTATTGTATTGTATATTTTTATAAATTATTTAAACTTTAAAGTTAAAATTATAGCTTATTTAACTGTACATAATAAAGTTTAAAAATTATATAATAATTCTTATTTCTATTTAAATTTTAATATTATACCTCACAGGTTCTCCTTTCCACATGAAATTAACTATTAATCTGAGCAGGTAATCATACTGTTTGGTTTTAGACTATGCATTCTTCCTTAACAAATCCAGATACGTCGAGTTAACGAGATTGGTTAAGCTCCATTCGAAAATATATCTATTTACAAAAACCATTTTGCTGACCTTAATTGTAATACGATGGGCTAATATCCGAATAAGCTACCACAACCTTCTTGATGAGCTCACGAGTGAATGCAGTTATCAATGTTGGGTCAAAGATGGGTCAGGTCGAAACTGGATCAAAAACAATATACTTGAAATTTAAAACATATCGATTAGAGATTTTCGTGATATTACTTGCTCGATTGGACATTTCAAGTAACTTGAGTGTTAACGTGTAATTGATGTTTCGTGTTGGTTGATACTCCAATATTGACAATTCTATCATCATGTCACAAAGGGATTTCAATTGAAGGTTTGCAATGTATTGAAATTGCAACAGTTAAAGGGGATATATAACTTTAACCTCTATTTACTATTATATACAGTATATATATTTGTTTGCAAAGGCTAAGGCGGCTAGATTCTCAAGAACAATTAAAAAGGTTGGCAAAGCTAAGTCAAACTTATATAATTTCATTTCACAGTTCCTTTCCTTTAGTTAGATAATCGTCCGTCGTGGCGATCAGTCACATGACGAACGTCGCGTCCCAATACTTAACAAAATTGGGACAAGAACTTCTTCACTGAAGTGCTTTCTGGTTAATATCAAAGATCCAATGTACCCGAATGCACAATTTTAAGTTTATTGCAATTAATGAGGTTTCAGAGGACGATGACTTAATCGTGCATTTGTTATCGATATTTGTTGATAATGGGAATGGTTCTGTGCGATGACTTGATCAAACAACGCAATATGATACGTTTAATGGCTATAAAGGCTTTCTTGAGGAAATACAGTAATTGACTTTGACAAGATTATTTTACACCATCCATGACCATTCCTAAAGAAGAATTTGATGCGCTGGAAGATTCCAGCGGAGAATATGATTGTGATAATATGGGATCGAATGATATTTCTTTCAAATTAACCAAGCTTAGGAAATACTGCAATTTAAGAGAAGAGAAGCGATGGAGTTAATAATAGGACAGTGCTATTTATTAAGAAACGAAAAATAACAATTTGTAAGCTAAATTTTTATGGACCCTTTTAATCGTAATAATGCCTAAATAAAATAATCACGTGTATTGACAGAATGTTAAATTATTCTAACCATATTTTTTTATTAACAGTTTAATCGATCAACTGATAAATCGTTTAAACTGCTGGTGTCGTGTCGCGTAACTGCGACTCATTTTTATCATCAAATTAATTCATAAGCAAAAAAATTTTTTGTTACCTTTTAAGTTTTATTTATATCGCTTAACCATAACTAATTAATAAAATCCACCACCACCACCGCAAAGAAAGTAATAAACAAACCTAAAAATTACAAAATTACCAAATATCTAAATTGTGTGAATAGAACATTAAACTAAATAAAATTACTGAATATCTAAATTGTGTGAATAGAGCATTAAACTAGAATAAAATTATACGATTTGATCGGCATTGTAGCCATAAATGAGGCGTTTGATATGCATCATCTCTTTGGCATTAATCCCTATTCTTTTCACTACAATACATCTATATTTACGATCATAATGACGTTTCTCAAATGAAACAACGCCATAAAGACCAATAATAATCGAAAAGAGTATAACATTATAATAAAGGGGAACAGATGTTTTTACACTTCCTATTAAAGTAAAATTGCCTTCGAAAAAAAGTCCTTGATTATTTTTGATAACTGGATGATGTTTGGCAAAAACCAAAACAATTAATACACAATATATGCCTGTGGTCGAAAAGCAAATAAGAGTTATGTCTACAATTTTGAAAATGTATCCATCGGTTTTTTGAATCAAGTAGTGAATTGAAATTATCACCAGTACAATAAGAATGAGAGAAAATACAAGGAACCATATAAACAAACGTTTAAGCGCTGATTGTAAATTTTCGACTAGTTTTTTTAAAAAGTATAACTCTATTCGATAAATTTCTTCATCGACCTCTCCTTTTTTTTCCATTTCGTTCATCTCTACAATTCTTTTAAATTTTGTCATCATAGCATGACGTGCGTATGAAAATGATAAATGTTGAATGTAATCGAATTCTGGATGTCTATTATTAGCTTCTCCAACCATATCAGTCGTTGCATTTTGATTACTCGGATTCTCCAAATTAAATTTGTCTTTCCTCGTACTTTCTTCAATAATATCTTTGTCTTTCACCGTACTTTCTTCAATACCTTCCTCTTTATCTGTCTCCGCATCTTCTTCAACGACTTCCACTTTATCCTTCCCTGTAAGTGTTCCTTTTTCATATTTCCTTTCCAACATTTCATTTTTTATGGCTATCAAATTTTGCATAAAGTAAGTAATAAGGCCACGTCTATATTCCGCGGAATTAAGTTTCTGAATTATATTGTCAAGCTCCTTTATGCTGTCCTCCAGATTTTTAATTCTCCATTGTTTCGAGTTTCGAGGGATCTTTAAGGCGTCTTCTTCGATATATAATGCATCCATTGCTTCTAATTTACTCGTAAAAATGAGTTTTTTAAGAAACACCAGAGTCCCAAAAATACTAGAAAGACTTAAAATTCCCGAAAAAGATGTCGAGATATAATTAATAATATTTGAATCCATCTCAAAATTTCCTGATACTAAAAATATAATCCCAAATACAAGCGAGATTAAACATTCAACACTCGTAAAGATAGAAAACATATAAAATAAAGATTGGAGATATTCCCATTTTTTAAACTTTTTTCTAAGTCTAAAAATGAAATACCTTTCTCTATAATTTTCTGTTTCTTTGCTATTATCTTTTGGGGTATCAATATTTTCGCTGTTTTTTGACATTTTATTTGTATAATTTTTTTTAATAGTAAAAAGGCGTTGTATTTTGTATTCAATTTTCTATTGTCACACCAGCAGAGATTTATTGCCAAAAATAAGTGTCATGGTAGCTGTTCTCTGTACACGCATACATTTGCATTTTTTTCGAATGAAATTTCCGGGTCACGAGAACTTCTGCATAAATGTAAAAAAACGTATGTTTATTACTTATACTAGTTGGTAACCCTCGCAATGCTTCGGGCATCTAAAATTTAATAATTTAATTTTAATAAAATATTAAAATTTTAATTATTTTATAAAAAGAACTTCATAAAAGCACATTATTATTATTGTCTAAGTTTATTGCATGACTAATGTTACACTAAAGTTGGTTACATGAAAATCTCACGAAATACTATATTAGTAGTATAATAATTTTCTTTATTTTTTAATTGATTATTCCCTATAACAATCTTAATATTTTGAGAAGAGCATATCCATGAAATAACAACATACAATTGACCATAAGTAAATACTGGACTTAGAAGATAAAGTCCAAGTTTGGAATTGTTTGACCTTGTTTCTTATTGATTGTTAATGCAAAAGATAGCTTAATTGGAAATTGATGTCACTGCAGTTTAAATGAAAGCTTTGTATCTGATGGTTCAAGAATTACACATGGAATGAAAACACATTGTCTAGTATATAAACCTGTTAAAATCTTCATATCAAAAACATGTTATTAAAAATCTCAAACAATTAAACATGTTTCATGTATAAATCTTTCTTTGTATTTATATTGTAAAGCAATATAATTGACACACCTTTTTTTAATATTAACTTATAAAAAGAAAGTCCATTAGAGGAAAGTGTATTAAGAAATTCAAGAGGATAGATATTGCTGTTAGCAATCTCAGGATTCATAATGAAATCTGCAAAACTATATATTTTTTCTTTATCAGGAAAGTTAAATAAAACTTGATTGTTAATCTAATCAATATTTTTATTTTTTGTTATAAGAATAATATGTTTTAGAATATATTAATAATCATTTCATCTTGTTTGAAGATCACTATACATGTATTCAATTAAATCTTGTAGATGATTATCAATTATTATATTGCTGGGCAAACAAATAAAATTTTTGATAATATTAAAGTAGATAATTTCCTTTTCTTCTTCAATCCAAAAAAAAATAATTAGCAAATTTATGATTATTTATAGCATTAAAGCTATACATTTGCTAAAGATACATATTTTTCATAAGTAATATTATTAAAATTGAATTTCAAAGATAAGAATGTTTAAGACCAGTATTTACAACATATTCTTGTATTCTATGTAGAATAATTGATAAAATTTGTTCAAAATCTTTTTTTAATACTATAAATTTTCTATCAAAAAGCTTATTAATATTCATAATATCATACAATAATTTATCAATAGCCTTGAATACAAACTTATGAGTCATTGGAGTTTTGTTATAAATAATTAATTTTGACTTCAATAAAAGATAGGCATTTTCAAATTGTTTTGATATTCAATATATTAAGGTTTCACTTAACTTAAAAGAAATTTTTAAATAGAAATATACAGCTCTACAGTACCATTTATAAGAAGTAAGAAAGCAATTTCTGATGAAGCTAAGATCAATATGATCTGTTTTTTATTATAAAAATAAGTCAAAAGAATATTATATAAGAAGGTTTTTCCAATATTGTCAAGACTGTTAATAAAAAAAAAAATAAATCTAGAATTGGGTTGTTCTGCAATCATTATTATTTTATTATATACTGTATGCTATTTATTATTTAATTGAAAGACACTTTCAAGAATTTGCTACAATTCATCCTGTAAAAAAATCAATTTTTTTTGTAAATTGTTGTATTTTTTTGTCATAATTCAATAAATTATAATATATAATAAATAACTTGAGAAAATTCTCAAGATACTTTCCACACTGCTAAATATAATCTTCAATTTTAGCTAAAGTATAACTTATAATTGTTGGATCATTTGGTTTAACATTCACATTAAGCTATTCAGCTATATATATAAAGTCTTTTATTAAAATTAATAGATAGATATTTCAAAGATTCTTGATATCTGCTAGTTAATAATAGATTAATATTATTGCAAATAAGAGATGCAGTTGTAAAAGCATTTGAAAAAGACTTGCTTCAAATAAACAATTGAAGCATTATTTGTTATCTTCTAAAAGTTCCAATTTTTGTACAACTTGTTTAAATATTGAATAGATAATGCTATCGATTGTATACAAATTCTTAAATGATATTGAATCACAAATATAATATAATAATAAACATATGCAAAAGCATTCTGAATTATTTGGTAAGCAAGAATACAGTCTATCAATTACTTTATTTCCACTCCTTTTTCAATGTTGCCAATCTTCTTTTATTTAGTGAAAAAACTTGGAAAATTCTCAATATAGAAAACCTATAGCTGTTGAATCTCTTTTACATATTTCAAAAAATCTTGTAAGCTTTGTATATATAGGGGAGTGAAAGAAGTATTAAACAGTTTTTTTTTTTTAATTAATTTATAGAATGATTCATATACTTATTTATTTATTTATTTATCTATAGAATGATTCAGATATTTATATATATATATAAATATTCTAATATTCTATATGACCATCTTCTGTAACAATAATGGTTTGAACTCAGTATAACATCAATTTAATTAAATTTCTATAATAGCTTGTGAATATCATATTCCATTTCTTTTTAACCCATTTTTCTAATTGCGCAATACTTGAAGGCTGCACCTTATATCGATGGATTCTAATCTCCATATATGATTAAATATTCTCTATAGGACTTAAGTCAAGGTTTTGAGCTGACCAAAGGAGAAGCTCGATTTTTGAGAAGATGAGAAAGGATCATATGACCTTTGCAGTATGAACAGAAGCATTATCTTCTTGAAAAATAGTTTTTTTTTACTTTTTTGGCATATAATTTAACTATAGGAATGGTATACTCTTCTAGAATATCACAATACACCTCATCTATAATACGACCAATCAAAGGAATTAGCAAACCTAACCCAACCCAAGAAAAACACCTCAAAATATACAACTCAGACTTTTTTTAACTGTAGCCACAATGCAATTTTCATGAAATTCTTTGCCAAGTTTACATCAAATACATTTAAAGCCTGAAATTTGAAATTGTGCACAAGTAGATTCATCTAATCATATAATTTTTTTAAAGTTCTTTACATTCCAATACTTGTAAGCAAGTGCTCATGAAAAATGTTTGGCTTTATTGTTTTTGAAAATTAATGGTTTGCAAAAAAAAAATCAGATTTTCTACATGATAAAAATAATAACATTTCTTATATAACATGTTAAGTTAATAAGTTTAATGCTAACTTGCCTCTATTAACCTACTATATAGTAAAGGAAAATAAATATTAAAACCACTACACATTATAAAAGGTGCTGAGTAGCTATGAATATCTACTCAAAGTTATTAGTAATAAGTTGGTTAAGATTAAAAATTAAATTTTTTAGACATGATAATGAATTGAAATTACTTTTATAAATTCATTTGTGACAATAGACAGAAGATCTATAATTGTATCATCTGATTTTGAGTTGGAATTTGAAAATTGACAAGAGTAATTTTGGGATTTGATTGAAGAGTTCTTGCAAAATTGATAAAGATTCTAATTCCAGATTATTCCTGTAGAAGAAGAAGTGTTTGTTGTGTTACACCTTGGTTTTCATATAAGGTTGTTGTAACAATCTTGGATCACATGCTATGGGACCCAGATCGCCCTGATGACCCGGATCCTCCAGATTAGCCTGATCAGCCACATGAGAACGACACAATACTAGCCCCTGACGATACGATCCCATAGTTACATATATACATTTCCTAACTCGGTATGACTATTGTTACACTTGATCTTCGCCCAAGATCATTACTACCCCTTGTCCGATTTCCACTAGCATTTACCCTTGAAATGTTGC